GCTACAGTCCCAGTACAGGAGAACAGTCCTGTTATAATAGGTGCTACAGTCCCAGTACAGTAGAACAGTCCTGTTACAATAGGAGCTACAGTCCCAGTACAGGAGAACAGTCCTGTTACAATAGGAGCTACAGTCCCAGTACAGGAGAACAGTCCTGTTACAATAGGGGCTACAGTCCCAGTACAGTAGAACAGTCCTGTTACAATAGGAGCTACAGTCCCAGTATAGTAGAACAATCCTGTTACAATAGGGGCTACAGTCCTAATACAGAACAGTCCTGTTACAATAGGAGCTACAATCCCAATACAGGAGAACAGTCCTGTTGCAGTAGGAGCTACAGTCTCAGTAAAGTAGAACAGTCCTGTTACAGTAGGAGCTACAGTCCCAGTACAGTAGAACAAACCTGTTACCTGTGTGCTCTGGAACCCACTGCCTTTCCAGTCTTTATTCTAGGAGGGATGGCTTTTTCCTCTGCCTCCCCATAATGCACTGCCACCTGGCTATCTTGTCCTGGGCCTGAACTGGAGTGACACTGACTATTAGTCTGTCCTGGGAGAGAAGCAGATTTTGAAGTTGAGGTGGGCAGTGAGTCTGCAGAGCTTTTGCCTGGAAGAGACTGGTCACCTTCTGTTTCACTCTTATTCTGTGGGGATTCCGTCATTAAATCTGAGACCTGACTTGACCCACTAGTCTCCTCTGATTGGTCTTTCTCAGGCGTCCCGGTGCTGTGATTGGTTCCCTGGGTTGCTGATTGCTCTTTGGTTTGCATTCCCTCTCCATCACCACCCGACTCCTCACAGTTCTTGTTTGCCCGACCATCTGGGGAATCCCGAGATCCAAGCAATCCATTACCATCTCCCGTGTCTCCCTCCTTCCCCGGATCAGTCTCCCCCTTCCCAGACGATCCGACGGGCCACTTCTTGCCTGACAGGTGGGAAGAGTGATCAGGTTTTTCTTCTCTCTCCAGACTGATCATATCGAGGGCAGGTCGTGACAGTTCCTCCCCGGATGACCCCGAATCCCCCTTTCCAGAGTGACCACCCACGGAGGAGGAGGAGGAGGAGGAAGAGGTCTTCTTCATCCCACCCGCCATCTCGTTTCTGCAATGGACCCAGGCCTTGGCTCTCCTCCCTTTACCCCCCTTGCCCTTCTTACACAGCGGGACAGTTTTGGTCTTGCAGATGCCATGCATTTCCAAATACCTCCGCTTCGAGTCCGAGCCCACTCTCCCACCTACGTCTGTGCCTCCCTGAAATTCCAGGAGCTCCACGTAGTCCCCTCCTGCTTCCTCCTCCTTTGGCACCTCTCCTCTGGTGGGGCTTGGGATCTCCTCTTCTCCGAGTGTTTCAAGGTGCTTGTCTTGGTCTGTAGCATTCTTGGCCACCGGTGGTACTCCCCCGGATGCAGGCTGGGACTCTCCTTCGTTGTCAGAGTCCCGGCCCGGAACGGAGTTGGCATCCTTCCCTTGGCTCCGGGGAGGGGCCGGGTTCGGAACCGGGCCCTGTCCCAGTGGACATTCTGGCTCCGGCACGAACCTGGGATAGACGATGTCCTCCCAGGGGACTTTGACCAGACCCTCCCCCGTGGTCACCAGGCAGGTCTCCAGCCTGCGGCCCCCGCCCCTCTCCTTGTTGATCCCGTTCAGCCACTCCGGGGTGAAGACGTGGGCGTGCTGGGTCTCGGGGATCAGCACCTCCTGCACGGTGCACCCCCCGGAGGACAGGCACTTGAGCGCCAGGCGGGGGCTGCGGGTGGAGAAGGGCACCACCTGCAGGTAGAAGTCCCGGGGTCCCATGAGCCGCCAGTCCAGGGTGGACAGTTGGACCACCACCCTCTCGCCCAGGCACAGAGGCCAGCCCTGGTGAATGAACAGGCAGCCCACGTACTGAGACTGTCAAGGAGAGCAGAGGAGAAAAGGCAGAGGGAGGGGGGTTAATCGAGGTGCATTGAACAAACTCTCAGGGATGTCAGAAGGGCATCCCTTGGAATGACAAGGAGAGCAGTAGAGACCCTATGCGTAGCGGTAAAAGGGGGCAACACAGGGGTTAGCCCAGGCTCAGGGGGGCGGACGATGTCGGTCTAGAAACCTATGCTCTCAGGCCACGGACGTGGGGTGACCTGGTATCAGACGGGTCTCAGGACATCCACACCCTCGATGCTGAGCCAGAAACAGAGCAGACACAGGAAGTAAATAGGCTACACAACAAGACCCACCGGAAAGACATGAATAATCCCAGGGAACTAGGAACAGGACAGAAGTAGAGCGCCCTCTAGGGGTACAGGGCGTGACAAAACAGTTCTTGTAATACCTTGTGCTTCATTAGTATGTTGTACTCATGCCACTTGGATCCAAAACCAAGTTACAGACTGGGAGATACAGAAACACAGAGTGAATGAAAGAGGCAACAGAGTTGTGCATGTAGAGGGAGCAGGAGAGGAACGCCGATTTCGGGACCGTCTTAATTGACGGGATACCGCTGCACGTTAGCATTGCTCTGCCTTGGGCAGAGAGGTGGAGAGGGAGAGAAAATGGCTCTAGGGGGGAGGAAATTGTACTTTAACCACTGCAAGACTGACTGATGGGTATCAGTGGCTCGGTACTGTTGCACTGAGGCAGAGAGAGGGGAGGGTTAATGCCAAAAAGCATGCTGGGCTCCATGCTTTCAGGGGTCAGTCCCAATCCCCTGAGACTAGGCAAGTCTAATGCCCATCACACCCCAGAACACAAACAAAGAAACTTAGACCAGTTCTTTCCTCTGTTCCACAAATAAAATCTTTTCGATAAGCAAACTACAGTCTAGGACAAGACTGGAGATCTTAATCCTAATCCCACATGAACCTCTACAGCCCAGAGATCAGAGCCAGGGTCCCAGTCCAGGATGAGACTCTACAGCACAGAGATCACAGTCAGGGTCCCAGTCCAGGACGAAACCCTACAGCCTGTAGATCACAGTCAGGGTCCCAGTCCAGGATGAGACCCTACAGCCCAGAGATCAGGCAGGGTCCCAGTCCAGGATGAGACTCTATTTTCACAAAACATATGTTACTTTTGGATTCAAATATTAGTAGCATGAGGAAATAGATACGTGTTTAAGGTTTAAGTAAGGATAATTGAAAACTCCTTTCCGGAATACTATTAGGTATTCAAATATTTCTTCAATTCACATTCCAGGGATCACAGCCAGAGTCCCAGTCCAGGATGAGCCCCTGCAGCCCAGAGATCACAGCCAGGGTTCCAGTTCAGGATGAGGCTCTACAGCCTGGGTCCCAGTCCAGAATAATTCCTACAGCCTGGAGATCCTAATCTTAATCCAACATGAATCTCCACAGCCTGGGTTACAGCCCCAGAAGAGGACCCCAATTCCAATCCAGAACAAGCCCCTACATCCTGGAGATCGCAGCATTTGCCTCTCTCTGTCTCATTCTGCCTCTCAGGCTCAAAGTAGCATAAATATACAGTATACACTTTATTGTAATGATGACCCAGTCAGTTTTTTAGTCCTCTCTCTCGATGCTCAGCGCAGTGCTACTGTACCACAGTGGCCTTTCCCCCTGTCGGTTTTCCTGACTTTCTCTGTCTCACGCTCCCTCTCTTGCTCGCCCCCCCCCCTCTCTTCTCTCTCCTTCTCTCCCTCGGCCTGGTCTGGGAAAGTACATATGGAAACCATTACCGCAGTGAGTCATCGCTCACTGTGGACACACTGCATTCCTGCTCCAACGCATTGAGCAACACTGACTGCTCTCAGATGTGAGAGACTACAGCTCTTTGTCAACACCCTCTTGCCCACTGTTACCTCTCCTGTCACTCACTGTGTCTCCCGTTCTGTTGTTTTTTGTTTCTTCATGTTTTGTTGTGTGTTTATGTTATTTTCTCTCTCTCTCTCACTGTGTCTCCTGTCCTGCTGTGTGTGTTTATTACTGAGGGATTCTCCGTTATCTCCTCTCTCTCGCTGTGTCTCCTGTCCTGTTGTCTGTGTGTGTGTTTATCATGGAGGCACTCTCTGTTATCTCCTCTCGCTCTCACTGTGTCTCCTGTCCCATTGTGTATGTTTATTACAGAGGATGTTTCTGCCACCTCCTCTCTGTTACGTCACCTGAAGGCTCCACAGCTGGAACATTCTGTTTCTTTTCTTCTCTTTTCAGCATTAAATAAACCTTTACCTGTTCCTTTACAGCCTATGCATGCTGACGCAGCTCCCTTCTTGAACTATTATGTTCAGTATTAATTATCTCTCTTTTCACACACCAGCCCTGAAAATCTCTTCCCGGCCCATCCCTGATCCGCTACAGCCCTGTCCAGTCCATTCCAGACCAGTGCTATACTCCACTCCAGGACCATACTCACACACGCTTGCTGCTGTAGTCTGTGCAGCAGGTTCTTGGCAGGGACAAAGTAGTCCAGCAGGTAGCGCAGGGCGTCATGGCGATAGGTCCCCTCCAGCACAGAGAAGACTTGGCCCAGGAGAGGGGGAGCTGTGGCTTCAAAGGGGGGGTACAGAGAGGACAGCGCCCCCTGGACACAGTCCTCCACTGCCTCTGAGCCCTGCAAGAAAGAGAGGGGTTCATACAGACACACTGAGTGACTGGACACTCCAGTACAT